CAAGCTGTTTCACAACAGCACTAAAAATTAATTTGTTCATGGTTCTTTGGAGCTAACCCTAAACCATTTTCCTTCTATCTTGCCTATAATAAATAATTCAAGTTTCAAAGACAGAGCCACAGGGGAATTATGATATGTGTTAGATCAGATGAGGTGCAGAGGTGAGAAAAAGGATGAAATGACCTTTCCCCTTTCCTTATGTCAACATGTTCTGAGTACTTATTAGAAATAAGGATAAACAAGAGTGGAATGCAGAGCACGCTTTACCATCTGGTTCACTTTCAAACCAGACACTATTCTATTAGTTTTGACAGTTTGCCACTTCCTTGATCAAATTAATCATGTTTTTCCGATCTTGTAAATGTTTTCTTATTTTCCTCCAAACAAATGGAGGCAAGCAGCAAAAGATGAACAGAAAAAGTATTTCAGTGTAGGATGGTTAAATGTTTCTTGTGTAAGTTGAAAATATTTGAGAAGCAAATATTTGCAACTTGTAATATATTTTTATCTGCATTAAAAAAGGAAATACTATACTGTTCTTTAAGAAACTTAAAAAGAGAATTTATCCAAAGCAGCAGTTTTCATCCCCAACTCTTCCTCCGTATAGTATAATGCTTTAAAATTGCAGAAAAAAACTAATATTATTTGATTAATTAATCTTCTATTAAATATAGAAGATCAAATTTGGACATCTGCATTTTCTCTTATAGCCTACTTCGGCAAACTCCCTTATTAGCTCAGAGGTTACCAAAGCAAGCTACTTTTGAAGCACAGGGCAACTGTAAAAGCAGCTGTGATGGGGATAATGGTATTCTAGTGTTGTCAAAAGTCCATCTGTAAGCCTGTCCTTGAATGTGCCTTATGTTGGTTTTAAACTGTGGCCAAAGTAAGAACCCTGTACAGTCCTAGAATCACCATTTGTACTACAGCATCCTTCAGCAAATTTGAGTCATCTGGGTGCATTGGATTCTGGAGCTATAATCCAAAACATCTGTAAAACAGAGCTTGGGGAAGGCCGCTCTAGAATATGAAATGTAATTCCAAAAAGTCTCCATTGAGGAATTTTAGTACTTATCTGAGGCTATTTGTGTACAACCAAAGCAAGAAATGGGTGTACAGGTAGTCCTCAGTTAACAACAGTAATGCAGTTGTAAAGTATGACACCATATGACTACACAGCTTAGTGACAGTAATCCCAGCACTCCCCATTGCTGTCATTAAGTCCCCATTGCTGTCATTGCAGATTGTTACGTTAGTCCCAGGTGCCTTACAAGCAGGGCAGCTGGCAGGCAGGTAAGGCGTGGTGCATGAGTGCGGCGGGGGCAGCTGCTGCCAGACAGGGAAGTTTGTAAGCGACTTACCAGAGCGACTTGTGACCTTCCCTGCCAGCTTCCCTATTGACTTTGCTTGTGAGAAGCCAATAGGGAAGGTTGCAAATGGCAATCACATGACTGCAGGACACTGCAACTAAGTGCAAGCCCATTGCCAAGCGCCCAGATGCCGATCACATAACCACGGGGGCGCTGTGATGGCCAGACCTTCAAGGACTGGTCATAAGTCTCCTTTTTCAGCGCTGTCATAATTCTGAACAGTCGCTGAACGAATGATCCATAAGCAAGGACTACCTGCAACAGATAAAATTAAGTGCGTACAAGTCTTTTTAAAAAGAAACTGTTTTAATTTTTTCAGAGTGTTATAGTTCCACTGAGGTTTTTAATTGCTTTAAGTGGTTAACAAGAACAACTGGAGAGGCAGCGCAGATGATACAAATATTTTAAACAAGAGTCCAAAATACATAATACCCTGAAAATACATAACACCCTGTTCTTCAAGTGAAGACATTCAACACACTCATGCAAATGCATATTTTAAAATTCAGTGGGTCCAAAAAAAATACACTACACTCCTTGATCTGGAATTTCTGAGATTAAAAATGATTATTAGGACACTGACCTAAAATCCCCATGCTGAGGTTGCTTCAAAGTATTGTGAAAGGCCTCCTTCCTTGAGAATAACTATATTTAAGCAGATATCTGATGAATGTATGACAACCATCTAACCAGCCTGCAGATTTAAGAATCCACATGTAGGCTGAGAAGATGCCTGCGCACACATACACAACAATGTACATGTTGTTAGAGGAGAGGAGGTCAAATACTGACATTAACTTCATTGACCAATACTCCCTCCATATTTATTTTTTTGTATAAACCAAGCAAATAATGACTGACAAATGTTGAGGAAGTTCTTGACAAAAAGCACCTCAGGGCTAGAAGTTTTAACTCCACTTTTGTAGCTGAGACAAATGTCCAGAATTGCATTAAGAGTTAGTAAATTCACCCAGAGGTATGACACTTTATTTATTTGTTTGTTTGTTTATTTCACATTTATATAGCCACCCATCTCACTAAAAGTGACCCACTTTAAAAATATTTTCTCTAATTTTTATCATAAAACCTATTCACAGAATAAATATTCAGTATTAAACATATCAACCAATATTATGGACCACTCTAGCAACCTGCAAAACATGAATAGTTAAAAATTAGCCTTTGGAAATTAAGCAGTTGAAGTGACACTGGTGTACTATTTTCTGAAGAATCAGCCACTAGATGGCAGAGTAAACTCTTCCACCTGCTTCCTTTACAATAAATTTGCCCCAACAAAGATAAATGACTGAGTATGCAGAACATGGTGCAAAGTGCCCTTCTGCCACTAAATGCACACAGCGATTACAGTTCTTCCCTGATGAATGTCCCAACAGTAATGCTCATATCTAAAAGACTTGAAGTACCCAGCTTAACCAAGTAATTCATAAATCCAGGTTCTTAACCAAGCCTCCTTAATGTAATAACAAATAGTATGCCTGGGGAGAAGGGATTCATGTGTTCTGGGGAGTGTATTGGTTGTATCTCCTGAAGTAATGAGGGGCAGAGCTAAGATGGGGATGGAGCAGCAGCTTAACTGCTGAGCTCCTTATGATATTTTACTTGTTTTATCTATTTTACAAACAGCCTAGCTACACATCCTGTAGTAATGAAAAGGTAGCAAGAGGACACAGAATAGATAGAAATTTGGGCAAAGAGAAATTCTACCCAGGAGTTCTTCAGAAAATTTTAAATCCATCTTCTCCACTCTCCTGCCTTCTCATTATCTTGAACTTCAACCTCCACTTTCTAGAAAGAAGGTAGCCAGGGAAGCCTGCTCTATATATTTCTGGATTTTAATCATAGAAAGAAACATTGTTTAAATGAGAATTTCTGGGAATAATGTATTCTAATGTATTAGATGTATTAATAAATACTTAGTCTATTAACATTCTATTATTTCCTGGGAAACACAAGAAAAAGAATCTACATGTAGTTCTCAACTTATGACGACAATAGGGACCAGAAAATTCATCGTTAAGTGGTGTGGTCATTAAGCAAGGCATCACATGACCACACCCAATTTTGCGACATTTCTTGCCCCGGTCATTAAGTGAATCACATGGTCATTAAGTGAATCACGTGATTCCCCATTGATTTTCCTTGTAGGAAGCTGGCTGGGAAGATCACGAATGGTGATCACATGACCCTGGGACGCTGCAACCATAATAAATACATCCCAGTTGCCAAGCATGTATAAACCCTAACCCAAATTTTGATCACATGACCATGGGGAGGCTGTGACAGTCATAAGTGCGAGAACCAGTCATAAGTCACTTTTTCAGTGCCATTGTAACTTTGAACGGTCACTAAATGAATGGCCATAAGTCAAGGACTACCTGTAGCCATAAAAATTGCATCATCGACAATTGCTCTGCATCACTTACAAAATGGACTCAGAAGCATGTCAAAGTGATCCCAGAAAACATTTTGTAAAGACATGACTTACATTTTACTTAACAGCAATAGTTTTAATTCAACAGTTGTTGATTAATCCCTATTGTTTATCATTATCTTTACTCTTGGTCAGCAGGGATTCAAGGGCTGAAGTACAGTAATTTGCTCAGAACAATTGTGTGAGATAACAATAACATTTTGGCCACCAAAACCATAAAAAATATAATAATAGTCAATATAGTAGGAATGCAGCCTGAAGCACTTTCATCATTAAACCTTTATTCTTACTTTCCCATTTTTGATTCTCATAGAAAAGTCAACTGTCTGCCCCAAAGTCACAAGGTTGGACTTTACATTATTTTATAACCTTCAATGCACCAGCAGGCTAACTGTTTCCATCTGGGCAATCCAACACTTTAACTTAACAAAATGTGAAGCGCAAAAAGATATTTGTACAAGGCAACTGATAACAATACAACTATTTCATTCAAAGTCAGCTTAAACCAGTTTAATGAAATACATTCAGGACAAATATAGGCATTTGTGGCAGTAACACTATTTAAGGATTGCAAAAAGATAAAATAGAAGCATGTTTGATTATATATGTTGAGGAAACTGTTTACATTGTTCTGGTCACTAAATCTCAAAAAGAATATTATGGAATTGGAAAAGATACAGAAAAGGGCACCTCACATCATTATGGTTGAAGCAACTCTCACTATGAAGACAGATGGGGGCACAACTGAAGCATGTGAAATTATATGGAAGATTTAGGACAGATTAAATTGATCAAATGTCTTCCTACAGAGCACAGCTGACTTGTGGAATATGTAACTGTAAGATTTCCTGTTACCAAAAAGGGGGCAAGACAAATTTGTGGAGAATAAGCCTATCAATATATTACCTCTAGGGATAAAGGCAGTAAGCCTCTTGATACTAATTGCTAGAAAACATGAATGGAAGAGAGGGAGCACACCTACGTCTGCTTGTGGCCTTTCTATTTGCACCTGGACAGGAACCAGAAGCCGGATGAGGTAGATCTTTGCTTCTTTTTATATAATATTCCCTATGAACATAGAAGCTCCTTCTCCGAGGAAGAGCAAGCAAGTCAACATTCAATCCATTCAATATACACATGAAAACAATTTTAGAAGAAAACATAGGTCAGTGGCTTACTGATGTAAAAGCAAGCAGCTCCTCTTCTGTGAGCTTATGGACAGGGTTGTTTTTTTGAAAGTCTATACTGTAAAAAAGAACATATTTTTATTTATGTAGCTTTCTGAAATTCCAAACATTCAGTTGTATTCAGTTAGGCATTTCAATAGGAATGCAGGATGTATTTAAAAAAAACAACAAACATGCCAGTACAAAGCTTGCAAACCTTAGAAGTTGTTAAAGAGAGGCTCAAAACATATGAGAAAGCTACCAAAACTAATTCATTTGTTTAGTTTTGTTTCTGCTGTCTTGCCTTTCCTCCAGAAGCTCAAGGCAGTATAGATAGCACACCTTCTCCCCATTTTCCCCACATCTATCACCCTTTGGAGCAGATTAGGTTGATGGAGAGTAACTGGCCCAAAGTCACCCAGTAAGCATCCATGGCGAAGGAAGCCTTGAACCTAGGTTGCACTGCTCTTATTACAATAACTTATGCACTAGACTACACTAACAAAATGTCAGCCAACTTTCAAAGTATCACCTTCTACACGTGATTTTTAAAGATTTGAACCTCCTATTTGTATCTTCAAAAATGGGGATCCAGCCATTATTTATTCCTTCTTCCAGTTATTCTGGATTCAGCACAGTACCTAATATAACTTAATGGTTTCAGTTCCTCTCACGTTTGATGGCTTCAACACCAGCTTCTTCCCTCAAACCACACACATGGACATATCGAACATTTTCATATTTTTTATCATCATATAACTTAAAAGGTTTTAGAGAATTCAAAAGCTGGTACACTGCAGGAGCTTGCCCAATAGAGATATTACTTTGATACGTGATTTAACCTTTTCTTAAAACCAGCCTGGCTACTTTTGCTTTTTTGGCTATAACTGGACACTGACAATGATGGAACCAAGTTTATCATCTTACCAAATTCCAAGGATTACAGCAAGTTCTTCTGCACACAGGTCAGGCATCTGGTTCTGATGAGATTCTTCAAACTTTATTTCATTTAGTACAGTGTCATCATCTAAAGCATAATTCTGTTGGGAAATATACACAAATGATAAATTACATCTAAAGTTGCAGTAATAACAAAAAAAAAAATCTTGAACAGCAGCATTTGACTTTAGCTTTGCCAGGAACATAAATTCTCTTCTTGACTAAGCTGTAGAGAAAGATTCTCTTGGCTAGCAGAACAGCAACTGTGTTGAAGATGATTTAAGAAAGAAGTAGGATTGCTGACAGAACAGCAGGGCTGTGGCTGAAGAATAAAAAGTTCTTTGAAGAAACAGAATGGTTTGGAAATATATTATTCATCTATCACTCCAGTTAGTGGTCTTCAAACTATACTCCAGAAATCCTGAGGTTTCTTGAAACCTTATGAGAAGTTTCTCTTGAGAAAGATCACATTGCCACAAACAAACTTTAGTGTAAGGCCCTCTACCACACTCATTTCTCCTTTTGTTAATAATATGTAACTTTCTCTCCTTTCAATGTATAGGAACTCTGTGTACAATAATTATTGGAAATTCAGCAGGAGGAGATGGATACTTCAACCTTTTCTTTCCATTTGTGGCCCTGATGAATATTGTTCTGCTGAAGTTGAGATCTGTATTGAAAGGAAACCTTGACTGGCATTTTTAAGGGATATTTAGAAGTTCTTTACCAAATCTGAATAGGGGTTGGTTTAAGGTGCCTCATACATGTGCATTATTGTTGATTTAACTGTACATTTTAATGATATGTAAGTCATTAAGAATCTTTGGGTGGGGTGGCATATAAACAGATAGAAACACATTCATATTTACTTCGTGTGACTAGCACTTAATCTCATAGGCAATTAAGTACTAGTCACTTAAAAGATAGAAAAACAACTTATTGTACTTGAAAGTGATATTAACTCACAGAACAAATGGCAATCCATACAAAGGCAGAGCCTTCCAAAATATAGCATTTCTGCTTCATTTCAATACCTTAGTTAAATCTTCTAGTGGAGTAGGTGCCGGACTAAGTTCTCGGTAAGGAAGGAAGATGTTATCTTTCCTCTGAACATCTAATATCAGCTGTGCTACATATTTTTCCTGAAATCTTGTTCTTTTTCCCAGAGCACCTGCAGAAAATCATTAGGATGAAATAGAAATTCACTGTAATACAGAATATATGGATTTGAGATATGCCTTTTATCCTTATGCACACAGAACTGTGTGATCAAATTACTTTTTTCAACTTTATTAAAGACAAGTAATGTATGTCTTAACTTTGGGATATTTCAAATGCTACCAGAAACTAACATTGTAAGAACAGAACAGGTAGGAACTAGGCTGAAAATAACTTAAAACATCTTGAGTTCCAGGATGTGTGATAATAAAATAAATAGTAAAATCTGGTATAAAGTAGTATTAATAAAACTGTGCTTTGTATTTTATGATTTAACCAGCATGGTTAAGTAAAATAACTGAAGATTAAAGGCATATATACATTTTTATATTTTTAATAAGAAATGTACAACATTGAAGAAAAGGATATAGAATATAAATAGATATATTCTATATCTCTAAGATATATATCTTAGATATATATCTAAGAGATATATCTTAGGGATATAGAAATTTTAAATTCCATATTTAAAAATTGTACTTAATATATCTGTAAAGATGAAGGTAATCTCTTAGGAAATACTTTGTTAATATAATGAATATAAATGGAAACCAGGTTTCAATAAAACATTTCTTAATTATGAAGGCCAGTTGGTTGCAGTGGTTAAGGTACCAGGCTAGAAACCTGGAGACCATGAATTCTAGTCACTCCTTAGGCAGAAAGCCAGCTGGGTGACTTTGGGCCAGTCACTCTCTCTCAGCCCTAGGAAGGAGGCAATGGCAAACCACTTCTGAAAAAAATCTTGCATGGAATTATCCAGGCAGTTGCCAGGAGTCAAGACTGACATGAAGGAACCAAAAAAACCCTTTAATTATAAGGCCCTTCAAAGTTTTTTGCTGTTCTGTTAATTTTTCAGTCACATTTTCCCCACACAATGATAACTACTGGTGAGAAAAAAAAAAGATGTACTTTAGTTTTCAATAATCTGCAGAAGTAAATCTGGCAGCTAATCAAAAATACTGAATCCTTTTTTTGTGTTACAGTGCTTCAATTTATCAGTCTTTAAAGATAAACACATTTGATAAGGTTTGATAATTTGATAATTGCAGACAAAGTTGTGACAAAGTGGCCCAACGAGACACTCTATGGTTTTAAGATTGGATTGGGCAACCTACATATCTGTTTCCTTCCACTGGAATCTGTTATGCACAAAGAAACATCTCGGAAGGTAGTCTCCAGCTGCCTTGCCTCCAGAGGTAAAATATGCTAGAAGTCGGCAGCGAAGCACCTTTATGGCACCTCCTTGCTGGAGAACGCTCCACCCCACAGCTGCTTTTCTGGTGCTTAGTTGACCAGCTTTCAACACCAGATTGTCCTACCAGACCTGTGATTGCTGCTACACTTTTGTGGCTTAAAGCAGCTTTAGTAACAGTATGGCGTTGTTTTTAACGTTTAACTTTTGTAAGCCAGTCAGAGAAGCATGCTTCTTTCTGTTCAGAACACCTCTTCCCCCTGTATTTGAAGTGGTCATGTTATCTGACTCCTCTTCATGTCCTCTTCTAGTTCCAATTCTTGAATTGATCTGAAAAGTAGTTATTAACTCAAAGCTTTTGTTTAAAAAACAAAGACATGGGTCTACTTGGCTTAAAACTGCCAGGGATCCAAATTCTGATTTTTTTAAAAAAAAGCAAAATATGAGATAAAATTAACTGACCTTTGCATAAATGCTGCCATTGATTGCTACATTTTTTTTAATTCATTCAAACTGAAAGCTGTGAAAGCACTTTGCTCAGGCTGCAATATGGATAAAAAGCTGAACATGTTCGCCTTCAAACCCCGATGAGCCAAACTGCAGATCATTCTGCACATTCAGCTGCTAGAGCTCTTCTGGTAATGTTCAGCAATGAAGCTATTTTAGAATGCTCTGCCTTGGGAACTTACAAGCAGCAGCAATAGATTATATCTTGGTCCCAATTAGCATTCCCAAAAATACTGGTAGCAGCTGGAAAGAATGCCAAGGTTGGCAATTCAATTTCAAATAAGGAAATAAAAAATTGCTTAGTGGAGAGCAAAGCATATAAAATAATATTTTAGTTAGAAATAATAATTCTGCCAAAACTGTACTCCATAATAAAGAAAAAATCACGGAGCTATAATTATAGCACCACAAAACCCCTAAATTATAAATATTACTGCTTCCATTTGAGTTCTTTTAAGTACAGATTTATAGCAAGCTTATAAAATATTTACTCTAACAAAACTTGTTTAAAACCCAAACAGAATTGAATCATAAGACTATTTTGTCTTGGTATTCAGACAAGTCAGCCATCAACAGGCTAGAGATAAACAACATTTACACACTACTCAAAAGACACAACAAAGAGCTAAAAAAGGTAACAAAAAGACCAGAACACCTCCTCACCAGCAATCAACACCCAGATAAACAGGGATTAACATCAGGATTAACACCAGACAAACAATCAAGCAGTAAACAATACCCTAGATCAAGGAACTACCAAGGAGAAAACAATACCCCTCCAACACTGACAGGGCAAGCTACTGTATATAAACAGAGAGTAAACCCCACTCCCTTCTAGCACTGAAGATGTTACCTAGTCGGGTAAAGAAATGTCTGCAAGAAAACAACCAAGCTCAGAGAACACCAAGGACTCCACTATTTTGTCTCATCGAGTCTGTTTGCTGGTTGAATACTATGCACCTTCTTTTTACCACTGCCTGTCTTCTGGAATGAGGTTCTCCCCGAGATTCAAATGGCCGCCCACACTTCTGATGTTTCAAAGGGCCCCGAGGACCTTGCTCTTCACACAGGCCTTTGGCAAACATGACTGAACCCCCCCTTATCTACTTTTTCTTTGTTCCCATCTGTGTTTGTTATCTCTGCCATTTTGTTCTTTTTTGTTTTGTGTTGCTTTCTTATTTTAATTTTTTTTTAACAATTAGTAAACCACCCAGAGTTGCTGAGAGTCAGGCAGCATATAAGTTTAATAAATAAACAAACAAACAAACAAACCCAACTGGAAGACATCAATCTTTTCTAACCTTGGTTTTTTTCCCCATTAACGGGCATATCATTGTGATAAAATATTAATTTTCTCCTTCACCCACAGAACTAAAGCAGTTATACAATACCTATATTATCTACACCAGTGGTTCTTAAATTGGAGATTATTTTGGGCATATCCTTGGCGTATTGGAACAATTGGTAATTGCTTGTTTGTGAACTTAGAAGACGCTTGTGCTGTTTTTTGCTTTGGTGAAGGTAATGACATTATTCAAGTCCAGGAAAAGGGGTAATTGGGTCAGTTTAATCACTGAGCAACACCAAGAAATCTGACATCAACACATCCCACTTAATTTAATTAATTTGAATAACCTTAATCAAAACAGTCCACATTAAGATTTAATATGAGTGATTCCAGTCATAATAGAATATGTAAAGGTTAAACTATTCCACACTAACTATATTCTTGGTTCTGTGAAATCAAAGGAAACAGAACTATGATGATATGTTTAGAAAGCAAGAAGAAAAGAAAGCAAAGAAGAAAAAGCTAGGAATGTCTGCCAGTTACAATGCAAAGGTTTGCTTTGCTGAGAGAAGACAAAGAAAGGTATCGAGACAGAGTCGGACAATGATTTATCTAAGAAAGGGTAATGACAAAACAAAGAACAAAATGAATCCATGTCTCTCAAAGGCTAAAGACAAAGGATACTGTTCAAGAAGCAGATATTTATTTGCCTTTAAAGTCACTGAGTGAAGATTCACCAACTATAGTTTTAGAGCCAAATCATTTCAAGCCTTAAATTCAAATAATAATTTCTAGAGATCCATCTCAGTCATGATAATTATAAAGATTACATCAGAGGAGAGGAGAGGAGAGGAGAGGAGAGGAGAGGAGAGGAGAGGAGAGGAGAGGAGAGGAGAGGAGAGGAGAGGAGAGGAGAGGAGAATGTTAACCCTTTCCTCTCCCTATTGCAGTTCTGCAGAACATCCTTTCCCTTAAGTAAATTGGGAAGAAATCCCCATTGTACCAAATGTTATTTCTGTTACAAAAAATATAGAGCATTTATTCCAACAAACATGCATTAATGACAGAGTTTATCTCAGGCTGACTCTAAATGGCCTGTTGACTAGCTTAAAGGAAAGGAAAGTTTTTGCAATCTTGCAGAAGAATAAAATACCAAGGACAGTTTTTTAAAGCATGGTTGTTGTAGGTATTTAATTATGCATAAGTTGTCATTTGACATCAACACTGTAAATAATTTAAAGTACAGCAGGTGCTACATGCTCCTCAAATTAAGTTGCACAATTCCTAAGACTTTCTTTTCTGGCACAAAATTCATAACTGACTTCTGTGAGGACATTAAATCCAATATCCTTGTAATCTTATCCAGGACAAATTTTAAAAAATCAAAAATCCATGAAGACTACTTATCTTTCTTTGAGTTCCAGATTAAATCTATTCATTAAAGGAACTTATGCATGAAAAAGCCAGCCAAGCTGCTAGATGTACATTAACTTCACTGAATAAACCCTAATAAGGCATGATAGCCATTGTGGTCCACATGGTTCAGATGTCACACTAGGACTGGGGAATCCCAGGTTCAAATTTCCATTTCACCATGCAGCTCCCTGTGTGACTTTGGGCCAGGCTCTGCCTCTTAGCTGATCCTACCTCTCAGAGTTGTTGTGACGATAAATTTGGAGAGACCCCACCCTTGTCTATCACTTAAGCTCACCAAGAAATGGTAGGCTAGAACATTAATAATTAATAGATGAATAAAATATGGTTGAATTGTATGTTACTTTGCCCAGGAGGTCAGCTGCTCACATTCAACCATATGTAATGTATTATAGGATGTTTAATCCAACAAGTCATAGGAAAAGATAAAAGGAAGCCTGCATATCATCCAATCAGACAAAACACTGGCTCTTAGACCCTGCTAATCAGCAAAAGAATATATATATATATATATTCATTCTTATATGTGTGT